GTGGATGTGGTACAGTTGTAATCCAGCGTGGTCAAGTCTGACCACCAGGTGCACTGTCTCTGGGGCCTCCTGGGAGGTGCAAAGTGAGCCTCTGTCAGTGCCTTGCTCAGGGCCACCCAGCATGAGCTACACAGCAAACAGTAGTTGGCTGCTACTTGTGCTGGGCTTGGAGGTGTCCAGGAGAGGCCAAGCTATGAGCCAATGCAGGCTGCCACTGGTGCCAGGCCTGGGGCCACTTATCAAGCTGTATGGGGTCTGCTGCTGCTTGTTTGCGAGATTTTAGTTAAGTCCTAAGCATGAGGCTCGAGAGGCCACTTGCACAGAAAAGCCCCTGGAAATGGCCTGGATGAGCTGCAGGTGGGGAGGGGCGGGGCCTCCGGGAATCACGGGGCGGGGCCAAAGGTGNGAGCTACACAGCAAACAGTAGTTGGCTGCTACTTGTGCTGGGCTTGGCATTGTCCAGGAGAGGCCAAGCTATGAGCCAATGCAGGCTGCCACTGGTGCCAGGCCTGGGGCCACTTATCAAGCTGTATGGGGTCTGCTGCTGCTTGTTTGCGAGATTTTAGTTAAGTCCTAAGCATGAGGCTCGAGAGGCCACTTGCACAGAAAAGCCCCTGGAAATGGCCTGGATGAGCTGCAGGTGAGGAGGGGCGGGGCCTCTGGGAATCACAGGGTGGGGCCAAAGGCGTGAGTCAGGTGCTGGCGATTCAAATATGGTGCCTGCCTGCTGGCTGTGTGTGGGGAGGACTCCCCACAGGAGCAATGGCCTCTGCTGGCCCTTCTGCCTGGGAAAAAGCTGCCCCTCCAGCTCTCGCCCCAATTTCAGGCAGGTTAGTTCCTCCCCAAGAGTCCCAGGTTCCTTTCAAGCTGCTGCCCGGTGCTGGGCTCAGAGGGAGCATGTCTGAGTCCGTGCGCGGACCCTTTAAGAGGAGAGCCTGGGGCTCCCGCAGCCTCTTCGACCCTCAGGGACAGTCCCTGCTGGTTTCACAGCCTGGAGTTGTGGGGGCTTCTCTTCCCGGCCCTGGAGCCCTGGGCTGGGGGCCTGCTGTGGGACTGGGACCCCTCGCTCTTCTGGGAAACCCCCACCGCCGAGATGTCCCTCCCGGGTTTAAATGGCGGCACTGGGTGTGGGCCCGCAGCGAGTCTCTGATTCAGCCTCGATCCACCCGAGTCTCCGCCCCTCCTACTGGTCTCGGTGCTTCTTCAGTTCCCTGGTTGTGGGGCTTCTGTTCAGCCAGATTTCAGGAAGCTCTGAGTGATGGTGGTTCTGTATTTTAGTTGTAATTTTGACATGGTTGTGGGAGGCGGTGGGTTCAACTGTTACCTACGCCACCATCTTGTTTCTCCTGCCCATTTTTAAATTGGATTGTTTGTTTTTTGGGAATTGAGTTTTGTAAGTTCTTTGTAAATATGGATATTAATCCCTTATCAGGTGTATTGGTGAATATGTTCTCCCATTCAATGGGTTGTCTTTTCATTTTGTTGATGGTTTNCCAGGTGTATTGGTGAGTATGTTCTCCCATTCAATGGGTTGTCTTTTCATTTTGTTGATGGTTTCCTTTGCCATGCAAAAACTTTAGTTTGATGTAGTCCCATTTATTTATTTT